TATATATATATGTTTACGAATGATTCGCATATATTTGATAGATAAGCTGTACATATTTATGCGTAGATCATATTAAAATTATTGATAAAGATATTCTTATATCAATCGACGTTGTGATTCTTCTTCCCGCAAGTTATTCAATTGGCCAGTTCAATTATTATATATATCGCACATAACGTGTTGTTGACACGACAATTATATCCGATTTGTATAATGCAACGTTATATAAATAAATGGACTATGCGAAAAATTCGTCGTGTTTTTTGACTATACTGTTAATATCATCTTATAAATATTTATTTGCGCTAACAAAGTAAGTGCATACTTATTATTTTTACAAAAAATTTTAGTGAAATATCTGAAAAATTCAGATACAAAATCTGAAAAATAATTTTGTTAGACCATCAAAATAATTATATAGAAAAATCAAACAATAAGCAATATTGCAAAAATTTTAATTCTAGCAATCAACTTCAATAAAATTTTTCTGTGTTTAATATCGAACAAGATTGAAAGTTCATAGGCATATAACAGATAATAGATTTGTTAACTGGAACTTATTGCATATCTTAGAAAATGTTGTGATGTTATCTCCCTCCTTTTATTATTGCATACTTTGCGAGACTGGGCAGTATTTAAAGAGACGACCGGCCTAAAAAGCGAAGCGTGCATAATTCGCGATCGGTCCCGAATCGTCAGGCTTGTCTCCCGGTTTTCAGCCGCCCCCGCGAACCCGTCGTTGATCACGGGCGCGTCGTCAGGAGACAGTACGCGACCGGCGGGGGGTTTGGTGGGCCCCGAAGAGCCGACAATCGGGCGCGCAGTGACAACGAGCAATCAGCCTGCCGTATATCTACGGGTCCTGTCGCCACGCATTTGTGCCCCATTGTGTCGACGAAGTAGGTGGTCGTTCTTTCCCTCTTTCTTTCTCTCTTGTACTGCCTGATCTCCAAGTTCCTGCAGCACAAAGTACCACCGCACAACGATTCGCCCTTACCAGCTTCTATCTTTAACCCTTCATATCTTATTGAGCAAGCATATTTACGGATATGTCGTAGATGTAGAATTACGATTTCAGTATACTAACTTATTTAGGAATGTTGATATCGAGAATTCGCGCTACTTTATACATTTATTGTTTTAACGATAATATTGAGACTATTTTTGTCAAATTTGAATTATATGTTAAAATTGTTTCCTAAACTTACAGTTTGAAAGGTAAAAAAGACACAGAAAATTGTATTTGATAGCAATTTTTCTTGTCAATACGATCTTGTGTGCAAAGAATTTTAAATATGAATGGAGAATATATATTATTATATTTTTATATATTTAAAAAAAATATATTTCAAATAATAATCTGAATTATAATTATTAATCATTATGTTTATAATATCAAAAATACAATTAATGATCATCTCTCAGGCAGAACATAAAATCATAATGAAATCAAGATGATTAAGTAGTCATTTTAGGAAAAATCGTAATAAGATCATTTGATATATTTTTGACAACAGTTTTATAATATAATGAATGTTTTTTACATAACAATGATTTTTTGAGTAAAAATCGGATTATTGTTAAACATTATGATGATATGAAAAATTCATTACAAAATCAAAATCGTCAAAAGTGTCGAATGACAACACTATGACTTTTTCTATAACTTTTGCTTGATGTCATCTTGATCTTAATGTGATTTTGTGTTTTTTCAGGGTATGCCTTTTTTCGTTATTTCGACTATCATCAAAATCAATTTATTTTGCATATGATCAAATGACAAAAGAAATAGATCGAAATTTGTTGTCGGACTAAAAGTCCGAATCATGTCGCATAATATTTTCCTGGACCTCACGTATCGTTTGCCTGCCTCCGTGTGTAATTCGCTATTCAATGATCCCCGCCCATGTTCCAACCCCCATAAGCGCGGTACGGGGTTGCTTCAAGAGCGGCTCCTTTGAACATCGCTTGCCTTTCTCTCGTCGCCAATCCTACCAAATATCTTCCCCCAATCTGTTGCTTCAAAATTGCCCTGACCCCAATAGCGATGTGGTAGGTCAAGAACTGGTACAAAAAATACGGCGTGGTCACGTATTTTCGTGAGAACTTTCATCGTAAAATACAATGCTAACTTGGCATTCATATTTTAACAATAAATTTTCATTCAGAATATAATTTGCAATCACTTGTATCTATTAATCAAAATAAGAACAAAATATTTATGTTAGTTGATGTTAGTTTCTTTTGCAAAAAATAATTTTTATTTCAAAGAAAGTACTTCTGTGTGAGGTCCTTTTTTAAAAGTAATTAAAATAAAGTATGGTAAAAATTAAACGTCGCAATAAAGGATGATTTTATCGCAAAGAGTGCACATTGCAAGTTGGCGAATACATCTTATAATAAATTGTAAAGGGCTATATTATTTCTATCAAATCTTTTTCTTGAAATCTTATTTATTTTATAATTATTAATTGTGTTTTCCAATACAGTAACTAGAACAGATGTATAGGCAACTGTAAAGCTGATAAGTGTGACGACCTCCCAGATTCAAACCGCACTCTCACGATAGAGATTTAGCTGAGGGTGTCCTTACAGTCAATCCGTGCGTGCGCGTGCATTGCGTGACTTCGGCCTGCATGCGCCGCGATGCATATCCGAGATATATATTTTTCACAATATAAAAATCATTTTATGTGATATAAAACGGCCAATGCGATTTCCTCCGAGAAAGTCTGGACAATATGTTATAAATTTCTATGTAATTACTGTCAATTATTACACAATTACTACAATGGTATTACCTAACATCGAATATCGAGTGCAGCTCTGTTAAGTAAGAAGAACGGTGTGATAAAATAAAATGTTTTCTGACATCCCGAGCATTGCTTCTCGGGCGTAATTGCTCTAAAGGTAACTGTTTGTTGTAAAGATAAAACAACTATATTACGGAAATTTCTAGTAGGAGCTAATATTTCGATGATGCAAAATCCTTTCACTTTGCAATAACTATACCTTACATCATTGCCTGAAGCGTTTTCTAATGCACGTCTTGAAATCATAACTTCTAGAACTAATTTATTATTTCAATTTTTTTGACGCAATTGTTGGAACTTACGCACTAATAATGATTTATAATAAAAATATCCTTCCTTGTGTACTTATGACATAGACTTTACAATTCATGTTGACCAATTAAAAAAAAAAGATTATGTTCATTGTATATATGTAATATGATTATTATACCGAATATTCTTTGCGATAAGATCATCTGTTATTACGTTTATAATTATCGTACTTCAATTCATTTAATTATTTTTAAAAAAAGAATCTCCTTTTTTGAAATAAAAATGGAGTAACTTTGATTCAATTAAGATAACTTTGGCTCTAAAAAAGATGTTATTTTGGTTCAAATTTTTATAATGCCAGCACATGTATCAAAATGAAAGTTACCTCTAATTTTGGACCAAAGTCATCCTATCTTATGATATACTTTAAAAAAATACAGTGCAATGTTGATTTGTTTTTCATTTTCATTTACTTCATTTAATAATAAAAATCTAGTCAACTGTTTATCAAAGTCATATTTTCTATTAGCTGGTCGCTGTACTTTCTTTCCTTCCTTTTTGTAGTTTATGTTTCTGCTCCACACAAACGAAGTGCCGCTGTCGTCGAAGGGGAAATAAGATGGGACAAGCGAAAAACATACAGAACCAGTTCACGCAAACATGATGGCTGCTCCCTCTTAATGGCAATGCAGCCCCCCGTGCGATGCATCGTCCGCCCTTTTCAACCAATGAGATTGCCCGTCGCGTTTCGAACAATGGTATGACCGAATAGATTAATCAAACTTAACCGAGCCAATGAAAGCCGTGCAAATCCCGCATAGGGGATGGATACGTGCGTGCGTGCCGCCCGTTCGTGCGACTGTAAGCGAGCAGCAGTTGCACGCTCGCCTATTTTGCGTCCTAGTCGAAGTCATGTCGGGGAAAAACTATGAGAATCGTAGCCGCACCGGCATCATGGTGTTGCGAATTTAACGACGATTTCGAATCGACAGTGTTCGGAAAGGACACCTTTGATACGCGAAATACCCTTGCTCTGATCCATCATCACGATTGATATACAAGATGACATTTTTTTAATAATGATTGTTGCTGATGCATCCATTATGAGCGTCACGTTGGAGGTTTACTAATTCTCTCTGCCGGCAGCGACTGCATGTATAATCGTAAAGTAAACAGCACTTAATAATAT